ACTGTGGGTTTTACCAGCTATGAATGAGATTAAGAACCTGGTTTCTGTGGGTTGTAACAAAGAAGACTTAGTTTACGATCACTCTCACTTTGAACTAGTTACCTAAAACTGAGTATTCCTGGACTATTCTTATTCAGTCATTTCTCTATGCACATCAGAAAGTTGGATAGTACTGAAAACTCAGTCCCATCTGTATTATAATCAATCAATCAATCACAATATGATCTGTGACTCACGATAACAGCAGCAATTCTTTTTTGGAATCTTCCATTTCCAAAGCTCAGGAGAAGTTGCTTGATGGGGAGAGAACAAAACAGTCTGTCAGTGAGATCTAGGCAAGAAACAGATATAAACTCCAGCTATCCTTGGGAAATGCTGCAGGGCTGTAATACAGCACGCCTTTCTACACTGATTCTCTGCTTTGAAGAATCTTTTTTTTTTCCCCCCAAACTTCTACCAAATTGATCCTGTCTTCCCCCTGCAAATGCAGAACCCTGCCTTGTTACAGATCCTTCTGGGAAACCAGAAGGCCAGAAATTTAACGAAATTGTCTAAACCCACATTTTACTCTATTAATTTTAGCGTCAGTGAAATACCACGGTGGATTATAAATCGTAAGATACTACTAAGTGAGCATTGTCCTTAATACTTCTGATGCATTTCATGTTAACCCCAGTAGTGGAACCAACAAGACTAACGAGGTCCCACCTTCAGCATTCTGATGCGAGTCGTCCATTACAGTGTTCCCAAATGCAGTAACAAGAAACAAAATGGGTAGAAAAGCACTCAGGAAAATACCAAGAGAGAAGGTTGCTGTCCCTCTTGTGCCAAACAGATTCACTGCTCTACGCCTTCGGGTTTTCTGCTGCCCATATGGGATCGCGTTCGCCACGTTCAGCAGACAGTAACCCGAGACTGCTCCACAGCACACAGCCCATCATCTGAACCTCCTAAAACATTATTCAGTGAAGCTGTAAATATTTCATTCCACATTTTTAGCAAGACATTTGTTTCAGTAACTGTAGGTTGATTCTGAACCTCCAGCTGTTACAAAGAATAAGCTGAGATTCTCTGAGCAGGTGTATTGCACTTTGTTCTCCTTAAGGAGTTTTCCTACCATTACAGCCGAGAAAGAAGACTCCCAATTTTTAATCTGTGAGGCTTTGCCTTCTGGGCTGCACAGCCACTAACCAACGATAGGAGACAGCGGTATCACTTGACAAAACACGAGGAAGAGCCATTTTCCCATTCTTATTATCTACTATTATCAAATACTTGAGTTACAACCTGTGTTTTAAGACTACTCTTGGTGAAGCTTATTTTTTTTACCATCACTACTTTTGTTGTGATTTCTTATGTTATCTCATACCTAATTGAATTAGGAGGTAAAGAACAGTCTTGATTATTCTGCTGCTTGTGTACTCATTGCTTGACCTACGAACAGCAACCTGTATGGTCATGTATGTCATTTATTTCAGTAAACAGGACGTATACCATGGACTCTGTCCATTTCTTAATTTCCCTGCCTTTCCCTCAATTACCAGCAAGACTGTAGTACAAGCAGTATGTACAAGCAGCTGAAAAGCCGTTTATGTGGATGACAGGTGCAGAAAGGAGACTCTGACAGAGGCTTAACATAATTAAAGTCTTTGCTGGGAGCAGCAGACCTGGCTGCATATGCAAATATAATTTCACAGAGTTATCACCGTAAGGGTCATCATCAATTAAAGAGCTATGCTACTAAGGATGACAACTCATGTCCCTAAAGCAAAGTAGATGCTGCAACTGCATCGTACCTGTGTGCCCACTTAGCAAACCTGACCTGAACGGTGCAAGGTGTAGATCAAAACTTGTTTTCCCAGTGAAAATGTGTTACCATTGCTGCGCATTGCACAGTTCCTCCCCCGCAACGCCTGGACTACTGTAGTCTGGAAATAAATGTTTCTATGACACAGCTCACAGCTGCAACAACTATAGTCTCATCAAAAAAGTCACTTTTTGCTTGTACCACTTCTTTGCTCTTGCTGAGACTGAGGGACCACCATGCAGAAGCACAATGGGTTGTTTCCTTTTTCTTGTAGCCTACACATTTCTATATTCAAAAACTGAAAGTTCTTTTTCTTTGGGCTGTTCTCACAGTCAAAAGCTACAGGTGCAAAACATGGAGAAAAGATTCCCCTCAGCCATGCCTTGAGGTCCTGGCAGTCATTTCCTTACAACATACTAAAGAGCACTTCTGGCTTTCTGTGGTTCCTTTAGCTCCTTCCCTGCCTTTATACACACATCTCTTGCACTGAAATCCAGAACGTCCTCATCAGTGATTTTGAAAATTCCGAAGTGCAGGCACCACAACTCAAGAGCTTTACTCACCTGGAAAGAGACGTAGGTGGCTCTCAATCCCGGCTTCAGGGGGCAGTCAGCTACAGCAGAAGACACCTACAGCACTTCACTGGGGCCTGGTTCCCTCCTCCACCGTCACCAAGCAGGGCTTAAACTGTTGTCTCCCATCAAGAGTCAAGTCACCTACACTGATCAATCCAACGATAAGAGAGGAGCACCACCATCCTTAAGTCCTTTAATTCAACCTTCATTCAAAACTACACACTGCATTTGAGTCGAGGCCTCCAAACTTCCAGGTCAGCCAAACCGATTTTTCTCAGGGATTTGATGAAGCTATCTTGTCTTTGGGTTCAAAATGAAGAAATCAAAGGACTTTTTAACCACAGCAATCACAACGGAGACTCTGGTTGAAATACTATTTATAGGAAAAGAGGAAAAGGAAAAAAGGGAAAACTTCTTTGAGGGTGACAGAGCACTGGAACAGGCTGCCCAGGGAGGTTGTGGAGTCTCCCGCTCTGGAGACATTCAAAACCCGCCTGGATGCAGTCCTGTGTGACCTGCTGTAGGTGAACCTGCTTTAGCAGCAGGGTTGGACTACATGATCTCCAGAGGTCCCTTCCAACCTTGACCATTCTGTGATTCTGTGATACTTTTCCAGAAGAAGCTGCTTTCCAGGTTCCTCTTTGCTGTCAGAAATAAAACTTTGCACCCGAGGAGGATACAAACACAGCAAGACTAGCCTGCGTAATTGACCCCACCAATATTTACTGTTTCATAAGTACCTGGTTAAGCTGTAAAAAATCACTTCTTTCAAGTCACTGCTACAGATATTGAACAACATTAGGCCAAGAAATTCTCCTCTCTGATCAATGAGAATCAGCCTCCTTTGTCGATTCTCCACGTAAAATTAATTTAGGTTTTCATCTATTCATTATGAGATACACTGACGTTGCTTGTAAGTATATTTTAAAAGGACAGGTAAAGCAAAAAGTATATTAACAAGAGCCCCTTTGGTTTATAACAACACTGTTATGAATGCAGAATCAAATAACAAACAATACAAAAACCATTTAATGCAAAGTTAAATACAATACAAACTTTATTAAAAATAGGTTGCAAGTGAAATACAGTAGAAATGGGAAACTACAGCAGTTTTGATGTTTTTCATAATAATGCACAGACAAATATGAAAAGCACTTTTACACATATTCACACTTGACCCGAATGCCCAATAGCGGCCAAATCCACTCGACTGAAGGTTATAGGTATTTTTTTGCTAAGCCTTTTTCAGATTCTAGCAGCAACAGTAATTCAGCCACAGCATAAGTTTTTTTCCTTAAGAAAAATTTGTCACTGTAAGGCTGCTAGTGTTCTCAAGATAAATTGGGAGAGGCTTGCTTTTCCTGATTAACAGACATAGCAAGCATGCAGATCCTTCATTAACACTTTGAACCAGTTTAATCTTCTACTTCATATTTAACAGGTGAAACGGTAAAAGCACACTTTCAAATAAGAAACCTGAAATACGTAAAAAATATTTACACTCCAATTTTCATTAACTTGCATTTATTTATCATACAACTCTTATTAAAAGTGATTTCTTTCCTAAGGCAGTGAAAGTCTACCCCTTTGTATTTGGAAGTGTGCACAATTCCCTAAATATATATTTATAAGAGAACAATATGATACAGGAAAAAAAAAAAATCATCTAAAGCCAGTAAAGGGCTTTGTCAAATAGAAAATTTGTTTGGAATCACAATATATATTGTCTTAACATCACACAATGAGAAAAACTCTGATGAGGTCCTTATTCCCAACATCATCAGCCACATACGCGTAGCTGAAGAAACAGTGGGAGAAAAAAGATTAACAATTTAAAATTAAATAAGGCTATTACAGTGTGAAAAAATAGCTTGAACTGCCAAGAAGGTTTTCAGTACAACAGTAACAGGATGTCAATGAAGTCAGCTGGCCAAAGCAGAGATGGCTAGCACTGCCTCCTCAGCGTGAGCAGAGGTGGTTGGTTGCCAGCACACCAGCTCTGCTAACGGCCGCACTGACATTCCCGCTCCCAGCCAGCAGCATTGGATCTGATGCTTTGCGCTTCGGTCTTTTCCTCTAATATGCCAGTTCACTCCTCCGCAGAAAAAAAGAAGGATATTGCTGAACTGATAACAGCAGACTTATGGATACTGTTCCACGCCCAACTGCCTAATAACTTCTAATCTACCTTTCTTGGGAAACAGACGTATCAGTTCCGCTCACCTTCGAACTGGAATCATTACTCCTCGCCTTTAACACATTACTAGCGTTTTGGTCCTAGCTGATGAAGGGCCACTAGTGTAGCCTACTATCTATTGCTTACAGATTTTTTATTAAAACAATTATCCAGAGGTTTTATCGTCACATTTCTGAAAGTCTGAAGCCCATACAGTGGGGGTGCATCAACATACAGACTTTTCCATAACTACTGATAAATTCTTAGGCAACCATTTCAGACCCAACAAATACGCAGGACTAGAAGTGGTTTTATTCCGAGGTTCCACCTACAGAGTGTGTGTTATTCCAGTACTAAGTAACGGTGAGATCTGTATTGATATGCTGATCATTCTGTGACACCATAGGTGATGTCAAACTTGTGTATACAGTCTTATTTAAGGTGGCCCAGATATTGGCTTCTTATCAAACAATTTAAAATACTACTTTCTAGTGCACAGTTTAGTTTAGGCAGTTCAAGCTATTCTCACTCTCTCTGCTCAGCAGCTAAAACAAAAGTGTGTCTGTAGAACACCAGGAAACAGAACTTATCTTTGACAAGTGCTACTTGGTCTGGTGCACAAGAACTTAACCCCCAAAACAGAAAGAAAGAAAAAGTTACCTTCACGTGATTCATATCTTTAAAATTTTACAGTGCTTTCATTGTATAAACCACAAGCTCCTGGCAAAGTAATCAGTTTTCTTGCTATTGCAACATCTCTAAATCTTAATTAACAGTCTTAGATATAGAGGAATTAAAGTCACTCCTTTCAGAAAACATTCATTTTCTGTTCATTAGTAGTGTGCCCCCCATCTCAATCCCTCACTTTAGAGATCTTCGGTTACATCTGATAAGGTGCTTTAATCTTATTTTGTGTTCAACTCATTTTCCAGTTCCATTAATTTCCTAGAAGCTTTCACTTTATTGGATACATCCTGACCCTGTGAAAAAAGTCGTTGGCGTTCCCTGAACGTCAAGTTTTCTGGTGCTCCAGGTAAATCTGTATCTTGACTGGGAAGGGAAAAAAAAAATTGTTATAATTCTTATCTACAATATCCTTAAATATAATTATTCTTAGTGACACGTGTTGACTGATAGCATTTTTGACTACAGCAAAGGATTCTCCATTTAGTGTTCAGCAAGGTTCTGTTCTCCACACATACATTTAATTCTGACATCGTGCTATCACTTAGACAAATTAATGGCTCACGACCACCTCTGGCACATTAACATGAATGAAACGGCTTGCCAATTTCCAAAGTGAAGTGCAGGTGTGAACTAAGGCTCTACCGGTGTTAGTGCAGCATTGCTGTTAACGGCTGAATTAGCAAGCCTTTCTGCGGTGGCACGTGTCTAGGAAAAAGCACTGGAATACAAAGCTTTTCTGTCTTGGTAAACAAAGCTACTAGTACAGGGTATGCTGCAGGGGCTGCAGCACCGCTGTTATTTCATTCTATACTGACCAAGCTTCCAAGCACAATTGCTGCCTGAGCTCTGGCACTTATCTCTTACCCTTGCAGCAAACCAATTTTTGTAATATGTGTTTCTGACCACCACAGTGAAGATCTCAAATCATCCTCAGTCGTAGCTGTAACAATACTTTACACATGCGATTAACCCTCATATAATAAAAGGTTCAATATATATTACAGTTTCTTGACCAGAAGAGGTTTCACTTTTAGCTCCAAGACGTCTCTGCTCTGCACACTCCGCTGAAACATGAACTACATTTTAAAATGCAGGAACTGGGCAAACAGCTTCTACAGACTCCTAGCCAAGCCCAGTCACACCTGCAGTACACTACACAGTAAAGCTCGCCACTCACATGTAAGAAAGAGCTAGTATTAATGCTTACTACAAATTTGGCAAGAATCCCACTTGAGAGGTACTGTTCAGATTTATAAATACACCCAAAACAGCTGAAATTGTTCATTTTCAATGATCACTCAGTTTACTCCGTTGTAGCACTAAAATTTGCTGCTGTGAAGCGGTACTTCAGATCACCTAAAGACTGGCGGAGCACTTAGCTGTATTTTGTAGTAACCCAAGACAATCCAGAGCCCACTGCAGAACTCTTGAACGGCCCCCAGAGATACAGCAACAACAGCAAATCCTGCAGAAGTTAGCCAGGTCAGGTGTATAAAAGTCAATGGACTCCTGCACGTCACCTTTTAGATCTTTTGTCTCTTGGATCCCGATAAACTTCATGGGCCCCAACAGCTGCTCCTGTAGATCCAGTGTATGAATTTATTCCTTATGCAAAAGAAAAAGGAAGTTGAAGGACTGCAGTTACAACACAGAAGTTTTATATGGTATTTTTTCAAAAAGGTGCAGTGCTTCTTTCAAGGAATAATCTTGAACCAGAATCAGAAATAAATTTAGAGGGTCGTCTGACCTCTAGAATATTTAAAACCAGCACTACGAAATTCCACCCTCCATCAAGACAGCTATAATTTTTTCATTCCTGATTTTGAGTCAGAACAGATTTTCTTTAGATTATCCAGCACATATCAAATCATGGTCTTTATCTTATTACGGCTTACTGTAAGACAGACATTAGAAGTTGTTCCAGGAGATTGATGGAAAGAGCAACACACTTCATTATCCTGTAACAAGCTCCACAGGAAGCAAGTTAGCTGCAGCTGCTCTCTTTTATGAGGCTAAAAGTAAGTGAAGATTAGTATATACCATCTTTGCAATTCAGCAGTCAGAATTTTTGTCTCTGTTTAGCCTGATTAAGTAAACTGTATCACGCAGAAAATGCCCCCTTCCCCCCCAGACCTTAAATTTAAATTTCAAGTAAGTATCTTGCAGCACTGCACCTTTAGTTTAAGTTGATATAACACACAGGTTTTACACATTATATTAATTCTTTCTAAAGGCCACAAGACAAAACCTTTTCTTTCCAATCAAAAAGTTTAGTAATTTAATCTGTATTTAGGACCATATTCTCTTAACAACTGTCACGAAAAGAGTAAAAAAAAAAAATGTCAGCACAACACTCGGATTTGTCTTCAGACAGTTCTGGTCTCAATATTGTACGTGTTATGTCTTGTGAACCTTCTTTGGTACAGAAGGAAATGTTTGCTTCTTCCACTGGTAAATGTAACTTCTCATAAATATTCAATAGAAGAGACACGTGAGGCTGGAACACACAAGCAAATTTAGCTAGCGTGTTGTAGGCTACATTTTTTCCACCAAAAATTTGTAGCAGACCAAATCATACTAGGTATGCCAGGCACATGAAGATTTTTTTCTTTCAGGCAGGAGTCCTGCATGCCTGTAAGCGCCGCCTTCCAGACTTTGAAAAGTCTGGATCCACATGCCACCTCCTTCGGGACAGTAGTTTTGATTTGGGTGCTGGTAGTTTTCTTGTTAGCTGACAGACCCAACGGTCTGAAGAGACCCAGTGGAAGAAGGAGCAAAATTCGCAGAAGCGTGGTTTACTAGAGTTAACATTCAGAACAGAAGAGAGCTGTAAAGGACAGTAATGTAACAGAGTCAGCGAGATGAGAGATGGGCAACTGCACGGTGAATGCTGCATTTTGTGCAAACGGCTTTGTACGTTACGCAGGCAGTCTTCATAGAAGCTTGAGCAATCAGGTGAAGTTAACCTGTTCTCATGGCTATTTTAAAAATTACGAAATAAGAGTATTCAGAATTAGTTGTATGGTTTATGAATTAGGTTATTAAAGGCGAAGCATCATACTACAGTATTCTTTGTATGTTATCAAAACCCTAACCAAATCTTTGTAGATGGTCCTTCCGATTGTTTTCCAGAAAAACAAACGTGCACACACAAAAAAATATCAGTGAACATTTCACTTCCCTGAGATGCATTTTTCTATTAAAATTAACAGAACGCAGGATTGGGGAATGCAATTACATATGAAATGGCATTCTGGGTCGTGGATGATGGGAGGCAGGAAGAGTGGTGGTGACAACTCGCGACTGATGGTTCTAGTTACTTAATTCAGTACACGTACAGCCTTCAAAGTGTCAAATAAGGAAGGGAAGCGAGGGCCTTTGGAAGCCTATGTGCTGTGACAGAAGGCACATTTTACACTCTATTACAGTCAGATTCAAATAAGAATTTCTAGAAAAAGAAAGTCCTTTGAAAGAACAACACCCCAGTACAGACATACAGTACAGACGTTTCATGTCAGAAGCCTGTTGTTTCAGAATATTCCTAAGAGCAAGCTGACAACACAGACAGTCATAAAGAGAATCTTTTCCACGCATTTCCTGTCTTTCTTTAGTCTTATTTTTTTAACTCATTAATTCTGTGCCATATAAGGTGCTCAAAAGCTAGAGTCGTTCTGATATAAAACCGTGATTTGGGTTCACTGTGGGTTTATCGGTGGGCTCACGTGCACAGAAAATAGGCATAACGGAATTATCTGCACTGTAATGGTACAGTGTGTCTACTTCTACTCCAGCCTACTGACAACACACTGAAGGTAAAACCTTCCCTCACCTTCCTTTAAGATTTGGAACCTATGACAGAGCCTGATAGGAGCAATAGGCAGGCTTGCAGGATCCATAGGGACTACTACATCATGAGACCTCACAGGCAACATCAGGGTAAACAAACTGTTTTCGTTTTTTTTTCCTTTAAAGGAGTATCAGTGTGGATACTTTTTATGCCGTTTGGGTGCTGTACTGACCCCAAACAGTGAAACTGCTAAGCACCAACTCTATCAGTTCAGTAATAATTACAGCTGAGCTAAACTACTGTCCCTTCAGCAGTATTAAAACTACACAATGCTGTGCAGAGCTTCTCGTCGGCGCTGGAAGCACTCCAACTGTAGCAGAAGCTGATTTGCCCTGCAAAGGAAAGGAAGCCTTGCTGGAAAATGATGACCTCAGCCTTAACTGAAAAGGATGCAGACAGGAAGCTCAGAGCATGGTATGGTCTCATACATATCCCCAATCAGATTCAGATCCATACACTACTGCAGCTGGATTAGAAGGGTTTATGATAGATAGAACCTAATCTGAGGCTGGTATGCTCCCTATATGAGGGGGCACGGCGCACCTCTGATTAAAGAAAGTAATTTTTGTAATTCGTTAGGTGGCCAAAAAGGTGATCAGGGATATACCGTATTGTTGGCTTCCACATTTGTCATTAAGACTTGGCTCCAGTAAACAGGTTGGCCATTTGGCTAGAAGCCAGCATAAACACTTCCCATTGCTACCCTTTGCATTTTAAAAGGATGATTTGATCAGCTGGAGTTGGTTGTCAGCCATTTGTTGACTTCCAGCACAAGCGAAAAGTATGAACTAGGGGAATGTCATGGCCACCATTCCCTTCAGAAGAATACAGAAGAAGAAAACAAATGTAGGGGAAGTGATGGCAGATGCTGCTATTTAAAGATAAAATCTTACATTAATAACCTGCAAATTTATTAGTGTGATCTAGACAGACACATACTCAAAGAGTAGAGTATGTAAGATTCCTCCTATACAGCAGCAGTTTAAAAAAAAAATTAGCATGGAAGTTTGAACTGAATGAGCTTTGAATCCATGAGTTTAACTAAACTAATACTCTGCAGATAAAATGTGGTGATGAAGTTACTAGTAGCTAGAGCTCCACTTGAAATTAAACTCCATGGTTGCCCACTTGGAGTTATAGAAGAAACAAGATGAGGAGACAAATACAAGGGTGTAGAAGGGGAGGAGAAAGGCAGGCAAAAAGCACTAAGATGAAATTTAGATTTTTGTCTCTCTGCAAGAAAACTGCACTGTACAAACCACAAGCAAAGGAATGGTGCCTAATACATGAAACTAACTTCATGTCCTATATGTCTCTTGGTGCTTGTATATTTAAGAACTACGCCGACAAAGGTCATTTGTAAAGCCATTTGCACACACTATTAAAGGAGAGAACCCTGGTACCAATAACGAAAGCAGAAGATAAGCTCTGCCCATGAACCCATTAGAAGAGTTTTCCTGTGTTCAAGAAAGGTGCACTTCCAGATGCCCTGAATAACCAGTGGTCAATCATACAAAACAAATCACTGAAAGATACAGAGTGAAAGTCAAAACCAACAGTACTTTGAATTGGTTGAGTTACAGTTAAAGTAATTTCTGATTCATCGTGTGAAAGACGGAATTTTTTGCTTTTGAAGAGTTTGAGTAAGGAACAAGGAAATTTGAGAGATCAAAACAATTAAAAATTAAAGGATTCATATTAATATCAGGATTTCAGTTAGATCACCACAGTGAAAATAATGATTAAGTGGGGAAAAAAGTAAATCACAAAGTAAGTGATTCAATCCATAGCACCAGAGTTGAAAACACCAAGATAGTTCTGTGGAGACAATTGATTTCATGGCGTCTACCTTTAGAGCTGCTGGCATGGATGAAACTCAGTTTGTTTGGTGGGGGTGGGGGCTGGCTTTTTTTGGCAGCAGTACTGTTGGCATTGACTGGAGATGACTGGAATGAGTTGGAAAGAAAGAGGCCATCTGAAACTGGGCGAGGCTGGCGGGAGGGCTGCTGTGGCTTAAGGGTGGCAGGAGGAAAGTCACCATAAGATTTTCTTGTGCTGGAGTACTTATCCTGACCTGCTAGATTGGAATCCTCCTCCTCCTCATCATCATCATTGTATGCAACAAACTTGGCAGTATAAATCGTGTCAGGGGAGAGGACCTGTGTTTTGAGGTAAGAGGTGTTTCGCTGAGGTGGGGGAGGAGGAGCGTTAGATGAAGGGGTTGGGGATGGGAGTTCATATTCCCGTGGAAGCGGAGGTCTGTACAGACCAGGCTCGTCAGGTTCCAGTAATCTTCGTTCTGCTTCATCGTGCTGCCTGCGCCTTTCAGCCTCTAAGCGACTGTAATACTCCTCTTCCTGTCGCCTCTAAGTCCAGAGGAAACAGAAAAACACAGCGGTCAGAAAGACAGACATTTCAATCTAAGAGAGATTTAAGTTTTTCACCACTGAGCTACAAACACCTTTTTTGTGTGTCTCCTTTTCTGACAATAAGCAGGGCATCTACATGGACTCATACAAGGAATATTTACTGTGATGAAATACACGGCAGTCGTCGTGTAAGACAGCGTTGCTGTTATTTCCAGATTTACTGCTGCCTGTGGTAACTAAGGCAACTGCCTGTGTGAACTATGGGTGATTCCAGCAGTTATTACTCAAAAAGTAACTACAGTTAATAAAGGGTAGATTTACTAAAGCTGTAAAGAATCTGTGGGAGAGGAAAAGACTAAAATTAACTACCATCTTAAAAAGGGAACTTCGTAATTTTGCTGCATGCTTATACAATGTAAATTAATCAACAGTCAATACATGTCTCCTAACAAGACTTCTAGCATAAATACTAGGAAAACTACCTTCACGTAGAAATCAAATTACAAAGACCTTTTCTAAAACAGACATCAAATAACTTCTTAAAAAGCATTTATAAAAAAAATTTAAAACTCTATGCGGATGATATTTATAAAAGGCTACTGACCATTTAAAAGGCCATGAAATATCTTCAATGCATTTTTCCAGTTTAAAAGATTTTTACTGTTTTTAAACTAAATAGCACTTAATTCTGTTCAGCTCTTGTCTAAGCCACATTGTAAATTAATACAAGGGTCTATTCATTAGTTTGATAACTAATGAAAATGTGTATTTGGGAACTGCATGTTACAAAACCTCTTTTGTCTAAGCAGTCTATTCTGCTGGGAATATATGACTTTTTGAACAACCACCCTTTCTGTTTTGAATCCATGTGTTTAAAAAATTCACCTTATCTGCTTATCTGCTCAACACTGAGTCAATTATCCTAAAAAAATAATAAATAAAACGATCTTCATCTAAAGCAAAGACATGAAACTCATCTCCTTGTGCTACTCTCCAAAACCACTGCAGTGGTCAGGTGGTACCGAGTTCTGAGTTGGTAGATGTACGAGTGTCTCAGTCAAGACCTGTCAGTGAAAACCCTTTCAAGGCTGTGATCCCAATGTCATTTGGCTGCACCATTGTCAGAAATTAAGAAAGGCTTGGTTGGTTTTTTTTGGTTGCCCCACACTTTTTTTAAAAAAAAATCCTACAGTATATTTTCAAATACCTTCCTCAGTTCTCACACATCACCACTCCCAGCTTCACTTTCTCCTACTCATCAACCCAGACTGCTTACGGAAAACAGTCTAACAAAGCTTGAAAACAATCTAACAAATCTAATAAAAGTGAATATATCTAAGGTGTTTTGGGCTTTTTTTAATGGATTTCCTCAGTCTTCCAAGATGAACTTTCAACATTAACAGCTAGCCCTCTTTCTTCATTCTGAAATCAGCTAATAGGCAAGTCTTCAATCTGAACAAAAGTAACTGTTCTTTCTCTGGGAAGAAGAGGGTCTTAAACATGCTAAGAGTCAAATGATCTGCTTTGTCTTACAGTTTTGAACAATAAAGCTTCTCAAATTCATGTATAATGTTCTGAAGGAACCTAGAAGCCTGAATTTTTACAATCTGATTGCACATAACTTATCTGCTGAAATTCTTTACTTCCTTTCTAGAAACCAATTCCCTTTCCTCCCATAGTTGAAACATAAAAGACAATATGGAGTACTCCTCTCCACTGCATTTCATATTTCTCTATCTATATAAAACAATTACTGCAAAAACATTTAAGTGCCACCTCTGAGACACAGCAACACCCAACACCACTAACTCAGCCATTATCATTCAGAAGGTAGGTAAGTCATGTCGGGGGCTGAAGGAAACCAACAGGTAATTGATTTCTGCCATAACTTTCTGAAAAGGCTCTGAAGCCAAGCCCTTGCCTGCTAAAAAGCTTCAGCCGGTAAACCTACGGTACTCTTTCTGCAGTAGCAGCCAGCTCCACAAATGGGCTATTTGTTTAATTACTTTTTGTTTTCTATTGGATAAACTGAAGCCTTGGGCCATGACCCTTATCACTAGGGCTAGTGTTTTTGACCCCTGGTGACCCAACACTGAGCTGTTACGGGCCAAGCTAAAGAGAAGAGGTCTGTGAGAACCCCTGCAGCACCCAGGAGACCACAACCTTTTCTTCAGCCTCTCTTCTGGTCCGCTCCTCCTCTTGCTGTCGGCGCTCTTCTTCCTGCCTGGCCCTATCTTCCGCTTCTCGTTTGCGCATTTCTTCCAACTGTTGCTGCCGTCTGCGTTCTTCATCCTGTAACTAACAGAGACACATCTTTAATTTTTTCATCACTCATGTGGGCAAGATGGGTCAAAAAAATTGTAACTCAAGTATTTACACCTAAAAGTAACTCATTCAGTAGAAAATGCTATACTACGGATATATCAATGTAATTTCCAGCTGTTAAAGAGTATGGGTTGTTACACTGGCTTCCCTAAAAAAGAGGGGGGGAATAAAAGAAAAAAAAGGAGACACACAGAACTACGTACATAAAAGCACAAAACACACAGGGAGACATTTTTAGCAGTCATATATGAACCCCTAGCAGAAGACTGAGGTGACTCACGTTCCAGATAGCTTCAGCAACCATAGTCTCATAGGTACAGTAAAGTGAAATTAAATACTTGGAACCAACAGTGCACAGCTCCAGCAGCCAATTGGTTTTTCACTTTGGATTAGTATTTAAGCACCGGAAAATCATGATTCATTAGTCAAAGGGTCAATCCATTTAAAGTAACAGGCTCATTCAGCAAGTCTGCAAATAGTCTCAAGAGATAAATAAAATCTCCCACTGTATCTGCACCAGATGTGTTTTGGAAAAAGCAGAGAGTGAGGCAAAGAAATCTTTGACTACAGAGATGAAACAGCTCACACGAACAACTGATGCCCAAGAGACAATACTGTTTTCTATATGCTTTTGATAAACGCTGCACAGGTAAGAAAACTGAACAACAATCCAAACTTTGCACGATTCTCCAAAGCTAATGGCATCTAAGCTAAATTCAAAACTAGAAATTAACTGGACTACATGCTGCGTAATTTCTTACTGCAGCGTACGTTTTAAAGTGATCCCCCCCATCTTTTATACTGGTTGGTATAACTCTAAATCAGTAAATCATTGGATCTTGCTATAAGCTGCATGTAACATGGATAATTCTCTACTCCTGGATTTGTTTTTACAATCCAGTTTCATTTACAGAGAAAGGCCCTTAAGACACACAGCAATAATGATATAAGTAAGAGAAATTTAGTTTTAATAGACTTTATGAGGACAACCTTCATGTAGGTAAATCTCCCCCCAGTCAATTAACAGGAAATGTGCTTTAAAGCAGATTAGGTTTTATAATTAATTTCCCAATCAATTCTAAAAACAAACTGGTTTGGTTGTCGGGGTTTTTTTTTTTTTGACAAATTTTCCGGTAATTATTTCCCCCCACTATTCATGTAGTATTTATGTTATGTATGGGTATCTTATGACCTTGTACAACACGTAATTTTGAAGAAGTTTGCCTTCTACATCTTCAAGGAGCTATACAGACTAATAGCAGTGAAAATGCCTCTCATCTGAAGTGTTAAAAAACCAACATTTTTGAGCATGAAAGCTAGAGAACAAGATTAATTTATTTCATTTAGGCAGTAATTTGGCAAATGTATACTAGAGGATGCTACCTTCGAGTAAATTCCCCTTTTTAGGGCTAACATTTCTGCAATTCCTAACTGAAAATGACTTTTAAGACAGAGACCAAGCTCAGTGGATACGGTAGAGCAGGGAATAAAGTTGTTAACCAACTCCCTGCTTGGATTAAGACCTCTTCTTGTCTTGATTATTAAAAAGACATTATTTTAGCAAAGGAGATAATATTGCTGTCACAAGGAAAGGCAGCTAGTAATGCAAAAGAGTTTGTAGAAGAGAAGTAATTTCCTCTTAAAAAAAAATAAGGTGGGGGGGGAGGGGGGCAAAAACTGCCCAGGGAAAAAAAACAGGAAGACTCCTTAACTCTGTCCCAATTGCATTTAGAGAAACACTCTTGAACATGGCAGTTACTGATCCCAGGTTACGGCATGGATGCCTTTTTGCTCAGTAGCAAATATTCCTATTCAAGTGCACTTAAAACAAGAAAATATTTTGAACTAAATTAAAGGGGAAGTGGGACTGGTTTGTTTTATTTTCTTGTGAGCTTCACTAAAGAAAGAAGGGAAAACTGGGCAGGATGCCCACCTGGGAACAGTTGTCACCCTCTGAACCATAATAATTGGGAAGACAACTGTATCCAGGTCAGAGGCTGTTCTAAACATAATAGTAAAAATGCCAAAAGTTATGTGTAAGGCACAAGCGGGAATAGAACAACTATTACGAGAGTGACATTTCATTTCTTTACTATTAGTAACTAGTTTCTACTTTGGAGCATTCCCAGACAAAGGCAGGGAGTGCTAGGATGGTGAGGCATGCCAGATCACTGGCAGGCATTTGTGTTTGCATTTGCATGCAACAGTACTCAATGCAAACTTCATCCCAAATTTTCAAGACGCTAAGAAAAATTAGCTTCACGTCCCATGGCCATTAGATTCCCAGGCTGAGTATTTTGATTCGGTACTTCTCTATCTCAACTAGATTTGCTCTAGTTTAAGAGTCATGGTTTCAAGTGATTTACTGTGCTTCCTGGGTTTGTCCAAAGCAGAATGTGTTTACATCGTAACAGGTAGAAACAACTGACCCGTACAGCCAGAGCGACAGAGAAGAGCGTTCTCCCAGCTGTAACGGAGCGAAGCAGCTAAGTACAAAGCACTAATTCATTCCCTCTGCTTTGTCCCAGCTGTACTGCAAACTGCCAACAGTTTGCTTTGCTGCGCAACTCTGTCCCCCTGTCACCAACATATGCTTGCAGCAGTATTCCTACCTAGGAGGGCACAAAAGGCCACCTTCTTCAGTCGGCGATTGGGCCAATCCCTATCAGAAACATTAAATATTCATGGGACTGGCAGGCACCCAGGAAGCCTCAAATATCAGACAAAACTCATTTCTCCAAGCATGAATGCTTTAAAAGACGTTCCAGAAGAATTTTAAATTTATAGTATGTATTTATGACAGCTGAAGCTGTGTCAGATCTGCTAATGGCCCCAGGAATTTAAAAAACACAAGAGCCAAGTTGACAATTCACGCATTAACTATTCATCACCTTTCATCAGCTTTGTAATTAGCAGAACAGCTATCACCAACGCTCGCGTTAGACATACGTAAAAACCACCGAGCATTTGAAAGTTTTTTTCCTAGAAACAAAGTAGTAATTGCTTGGGTACATGAAGTAGCATAGGACAGACGCAACTATGCCCAGAAAGTCACGTGAACAGTATGAAAATGGTGACACTGGGTGGTGGGGGGGGGTAGTATTTGCTGGATATAGCATTCAACATCATCTATTTCAGAATTAGTTTGCTTTCCTTTTCTAAAGATAAATTTATGAACCTAATAAATCCAACTGATACAGGCCATGGATCCTTCTAGCATGCTATTCTCTCTCTGACCATGGGAAGAGCAGCTGCATATGAGCCTGGTCATTTTTTTCTAGGATGTGCCCAGCGTTCAGCATAGTACTAGAGATGTCAGCTGGTACAGCCTTGTGTAATCCTTTGAGTAGCTGCTCACAGGCGTGATGTCTATGAATCTGTCTAATCCATTTTTAAATCTGATGGTACCGTCTGCCTTCACAACCGCCTGTCGCAGAGAGATCCAGAAGTTTACAGCCTGCTTGGCAAAGTACTTTATCTATCCAGTCGCAGCTCTGGGGATCAAGGCTCAGGCAAAAAACCATATGAGTAGTAATAAGAAAAAATATTGATAGATACTAAGTCTGAAAAATCTGTGACTCCTGGCTTGTCCATTGATTCAGAAAGCTGACATGCTTCACCTGTTTCACTGCTGTCAACTGCTTAATGCTCATGTACCACGCAGATACAAACCCAAACGCCTCAGACACACTAAGTTATCTGAAGTGTGCATTTAAAAAAACCAAAACCAAAACCAAAAACCAATCACCTTTTAAATAAAGCAGTGCCAAATATCCAAATCTATATTTGGAATAGACATACTTACAGTTTTTTCCCAGCAGCACAAATTAATTATACTAACAGGACTTGCAGGCATTACCTTTCTTTCAAATTGGTATACTAATTATACAGAAATACACTTCGAAGGGGATGTATGTCTTCTCTAGAAGACTACAGAACTCTTCTTCCATTTACCAAATTCCAATGAGAGCAATAAAATACAGAATTAGCTGGAGTCGTAGCAATTACTGCTCCAATTTGAAAGCCTGTCATGTTTTAGATGCAAGAGAATGATATTAACCAACTGGAACTGAAATTATATGGTAACTTAACTGCATGTTTATGTGACCTGCTTGGAAATACTAGTTCAGAAGTAATTCTGAGTTACAATCCATTTTTACTTTAATGAGAAAACTGTAACACCTGTAAACAACAGGGTTTCAGCATTTGTTCCAACAGTATGCTGTATTATTAGGCTCTCAGGACAATTTCACTTCAAATTGGAAAGGAATGGTGTTGCTAGAGCTCTTCTAAGGGGCAGGGAAGGGAAGGGAGGAAATCACAGCCTGTTCATTCAAAGTTATTAATAAGATTTTATAAACACGATTGCACAAAACATCAAATACACAGTCTTGTATTAGACCACTCCTACAACAAACAAATCTAGCCTGCAAGCAGAACACAACATCTAAAAGGAAGGAAACGTAGGTAAAGGAGTCACCACATCTGGAAACATTCAAATGCATGCTTACAGTTAACTCACTGCTTATTGTATCACAATGATTTTTTTGAACACCCAAAGATGCCAAATCATCATCCAAAACACACGGAGGTTATTAATAACATCAGGAATTGAAACGGGAAAGAGATATTGAAGAGAAGGAAACAAACATACCAAATCTAGAACAGAGATTGCTGGCACAGCAGTCTGCTGCAGGTAGTAAGAAAAGGGAAAAAAAGAAATATGCACAGTGAAAATAAAGATAGGTTAGACTTGTGCTATTTCAAAAGCATTTTCTTTTATTTGTTGTCAGCTGCTTTAGAATGAAGAACTGAATAGACATAATCCTGAAATACAGAAATGAAAACAATCAAATAATCCGAAATTGTTATCAGTATTGGTTTGACTCATTCAAAACCTCAGTAATTCTCCAGAGATGCTACTTATTGCATCTCTAGTAGCATAGACAGTGAAGTGTAACCGAAATGCAAACCTTACTTCAGTTCAAGACAACTGTTACCTTTTTAGATTCAAAATGTTCCAAAATGCTGGAAGAACTTTATGCACAAATAGTATTTTAAATCCAGCACTTGCAGAGAAGACTGATATAATGTTATGCAATACAACTGGCTTGCTATTAATGACACATGGCTTTTTTAGCCTTGCTACAGTAAAATTTTTAAGACAGTGTTTGTTAAAATGGCAGTTTTACAAGGATTTTTTTATGTCCATAGGTAACCGCCTATATACTACAAATTACATGTTAGCGATGCTGGGCTTCAATGCAACCTGTTTGCCAAAGATATATTTAGCTTTTCCTTTCTTCAGTTTCCAAGTCTGAGGTATCTATTGTTTTACACAGTAATAAAGTTAGCCACAAGAAAAAAGGAAAGCAATGCAGACTGCAGCAAATATGAGAAGAGTAAGTTTAGGAAATCAAGCTGCCAAGACAATCCTGAACTCAGACACACTACTCAAGCTGTTAGGTATTTTGAATGTCAAAAAAAGTATGTCCAAACATTTCTTAGAATTAAAAATTGCTTATCACAGAATTAAGTCAACTTTTCAAGATAAACAAACAGAAGACACTCAGCATATTACAGAGCTAGTTTGTAAGCCTATCAAAGCATAGCTATTGGTATGCAACTTTAGTATCCATGCTATTATTCAGAAAAGAAAAACAAGTTTTCCTACAGATATTGTTTCTCAGCAACAATAGATTTAACAGATTGAGAGACAACAGCCACCACCAGAGTGATAAAAACTTCATCCTACTATTCAGCTGTATTATCCTACCATGTATTATAAGCTTTCACAGTACTGAAGCTAAAGCAAGCAAACCTTGTCAGACACCAGTTAAACTGGACACCACACAAAATCCAGGTATGTATGAGCTGCAGTTCTAGACAGGGTGTATTAGTTGTTACAACACCCAAAACCACATGGCTAAACCTAATGCTTCCCCCCAGCACGGCTGGGGTCACCACTGAGGTGGTGGTAAAGGCAGAGGTAGCAGCTGCCCAATAGCCCAGCCTTTACTTGGAGCAGACCAGGTGGAATCTCAGTTCAGTTCACTCTTCCCTGGCAAGAGCATTCATTCGGTGGTTGTGTTCAGGTCCGAGACTATAAATAAGAACTCTTAGAGGTAAATATATTTGGGGGTTGGGGGGGGAACCCACTATTTTTGTTCCTGATTCTCCCAGAGACTTTCATAATTTCACATGATTTTGCTTACCTTCCTGTAAGCAAAGTCCTGCCACATTTAACCTTCTAATCCTACTGCAGGCACATGGCAAAATCCCTTTATCTGAAGAGAATTTCTTCCCTCGCAACCAGAAAAGTAAATTTGACTGCCAACTTGAATTCTGCAATAGGTATTTATGGTACTTTCATAATACATCACTTAACTGGTGAAGTCACTGTAAGTTAGCAATTTTAAAATTCAAGGTATTTAAGAAAGCTTCATCCTCCTTTACCCCGTAAGAACATCAAAATACTCAGACAAAGCCAAAGAACCCACCAAGACATATATATTTACAATTCTTTTGTCTAGAAAGGATTATCCCCTTTTACCCTTGCTCTTCTTTCTGCCTCCAGTCGCTGCATGATAAGCATAGTATCCACATCATCGTCCTCCTCTTCATCATCATCTTCATCCTTTTGCTTTGATTCTTGAAGTCGCTTTTGGAACTGCCACTCAAGCATGAGTTTGCGGAGGCGGTCATTTTCTTCTGCTGTACGATCAGGCTTGTTCTGAAGTTCCTGAATCTCTTTACTCAGCATGTCCACAATGTGCATCTGTTGCTGCTTCTCCAGCTTCTCCTTAGCATCCCGTTTCCAGGGATCTGGAGAGAGGCTATCACTAGAGGACAGTTCTTCCTTGCTGATAGTAATGTACTGCAGATCTCTCCGCTCAATAGTCCGAGGCTGCTGTTGTGGCTGCAACTCTCGAATGACTGTTTCTTGAGACCTCTGCAACGTTGAAGGTTTTTCCGATTTCACTTGTTGAAGAGACATAGGGGGAACCACAGGCTGACCAGGAATTAGTGGCTGAGAACGCATTTGGCCCAGTTTTCTCTCCTGCTCACGACGTTTCCTTTCTCGTTCTTCTTCCAAACGTGCCTTTTCCTTTTCATACCACCTTTGATGCTCTTCTCTTTTTTTACGCTCAGCAGCGGCTACCTGGGAAGATGCTTGTGCTCCTATCTGATTTGGAGGAGGAGGGGGAGGCAGAGGCAAATCCATTTGTAGTTCCTCAAATTCAGCTGCATAATGCACTGGAGGAGGAGGTGGTGGAGGAGGAAGATCTGTTCTGATGGGCTGGGAAATGGCCACTGGAGTTGGCTGGCTGGTAGCTGGAGTTTTCCAACGGCCAGGTCCACTTTTAGTTAAACAAGAACCAGGCGAGACCGGTTTGGATGAATGGTTCAGGTGTTCTTGGCTAGACGTGCTAGAATCCACAGATGAATTCATCCACTGATCGCTGTCTGACTTCCGATCAATGTACTCTACATCCTTCCGTATAACAACTTCCAAACGATTCCTCTCTGGCTGGAAAACTTTATCTCTGAGTTCTTCCTGGGAACGAGCCACACGCTGGAAAAAAATAAACAAGGCATGTATTGCATAGCCAATCTATATTAAAACATATTTGAAAATGGCTCACAAACCGCATTCTTATTACTGAAGGTAATTACTTTTACTGAATTTCAGCATTTCCATGCCCAGTAAGTTTCCCAAAACCAACAATAAAATATTCTTCTCAGTCCTTTTAACTCATTCAAGTCGTGGAAGACTTTGCAACCTCTGAAATGCCTGGAAACTTGGACCAGGAGGAAGGATGAACGCAAAATGGAGCTTAAGCTGAAAACCTCCCCAGCTCGCACAATTTCTCAGGACTATCCCTGACATCCCCTCCCCTGCATGCAAGCACCGAGAGTCCTGGCAGCTCGGAACAGCAGCTCAGGCATACCAGCTCTGCCATTCAGCCTTCAGCTGGCTTGACTGAACATTTTTCCTATTGGGAAGGCAAACAGAAAGGCTGCTGAGGCAGAGATAAGGAAGCCTCTGCCCACCCTCCTCCATTAACAGGCAAGATGACCCGCGGGAAGCTCCTCTCATTACTACAGTGCCATTCACGGGTACAGAATCTGGGCAGTCGGGTCCAATTCTACCTGCTCTTGGGGCCTGGGTGTATTGGTCTGCACTTTTGTCGCTTTTTTAGTGCGTCAAACTAAAAGCCTTCTTTTACACAAGCCCAGGGTCTCACTGCACTGTACAACCTCCTGAAAAGGAACACTGCACCATAAGTTAGGCTTATCAAATCTGTTAATGATTTTCTTGAAGCAAATATTCATACTTTGAACGTTAGGAACTACTAAGCACTGAACACATAATGTACCAATTATCAACAACTGAGAGAAGACTAACAAAGCAAACTCCTTTCTTTTTCCTCCATCAATGACCTTAACCATGACCCCTAAAGAATGCCTTCTTTGAGATGAACAAGTGTATTTTTTATGCTCTATTAGTCCAGCAGAGCTGAACACACAGCTATTTGTGTTAGATTTGCTGTAAAGATGCACCTAGCCAAACAGTTTGCTAGTGCCTTCAGAACAGAAAACAGGCATTTCACATCAGTCAGTAGATTACAGCAGCTTTTTTTTTTACAAGCCCAGTTCTCACTGTAATGATTGAAAGGATTTTTTTTTAAAAAAAAGTCTATTTTCCTCTAATTTTCAACTTGAAAGAACTACTGTATGGCATGGAAAAATTGTGTACACCTTCAATGCTTGTAAGGAGCTAAAACTTCTGTTTGCTTTATGAAATTGCTTTTCTGCACTGCATTTAGCCTTAAGACCATAGCTCAAACACAGTATCTGTCAACAACTTTAAAAGACGGGGTTCCTCTCATCAGTTTTAACCACCTCCCCTAAGCTACTCACTTAAGCTTGTCTTAAGCAGGGGAGAGACGCATGTCCAGGCAGCAATTCATGCCATTAAGACAAATGGATAGGAACCATTCTCTGGAGGTACCAGCCTCCCCCGTCCCATCATCGACAGACAGTGCCTAGATGGTAACTATGCAACTAAGATTAGGTGAGATGAAATCATGAAATGTGAAGGAGATTCAGTAACATGGAAATTCAGCAATATATTTCTACGGCTATTTGCCACAGTCATTTAACTTGTAGCATTTTCCTTCAATATTACCATCCAACTTTGGGTATAACATCCATTTTCTTAACAGACGAAATAATTAGGATTTGATATCTATAATACTGAAAAAAAAACCCTAAGGCTTTATTCACTTGACTTTTTACTAAATTCAATTTCCAATAATGTGTGAGTAATCAATAATCAATCTTTACTTTGCTCCTATGACACAATCTCAAGATAATTTACATGACACTGGTTCTCCAAAAGCCTGGTGGAAGGCTCTGCTTTTATCACAAATTAAGAAATTGAAAAAAAGGTTTCTCTCTGTATTTTTAAGTTTCTGGTGGATTAGAGAAAAATATGATCCAGTGACTGGATTTAGCAGATCCAGATTTAATTTCCTGTATGGATTTGAGTAAAGTCCTCATTTACAAAGAGCAGAAAACATTATTTTTTGAATTTATAAAGGTACAGTGGGGGGTAAATTCTTTTCATGTCAAGAAGCATCTCCACTTTGATAATAGATGCAACTTGAATTTACTTGGTTTTTTGGTTTGTTTTTTTTTTTTTTTAAACTGAGAGCAAGGAATGGGTTTCAGTGAAGACCTTGGATATGTCTCAAAGTACTGTTTTATTTCATTTTTAATACTTCACTTTGTCACTTAAACAATGCACCCTGCAGGCAAAGGAGAACTTTTTCCATGTAAACTTTCTTGGAAGAGTGAAAGATTTACTTTGCTTTTCAGAAAACCACAAAATGTTTTACAAGACAATCATTTACACCCCATTATCTCTAATATGGAGATAAAAGCACCCCAGATAACAGGTCTGTGGAACATTGTAATATAAATTCTATGGAGGAAAAAAGAAAAGGGGGGGAAGGGAGGAAAAAAGAAAAGGGGGGAAGGGAGGAAAAAAAAGGGGGGGAA